AAAAACATATATATTTGTGGTTGCACCTCCTCCTTCTATGTTGATTCAGTGACAAACTCTAAAAATTTTTTTTAAAAAAAATGGCAAGTACAAGTCTATTTACAAGTTTAGCTACTTATATGGTTAAAATTGCAAACTTGTTGTATTATCATGAGTGTAATAGCCTATTTATAGGTCTAGCTATTGCATGATGATAGATGATTTTCACCTATTTTTTGTTCTATCTTTCTCTCTTTACTACATATTATAATCCATATTGTATTTTATCAACCCTCATAGTTAATTTTTAAATAATTTTTCTTTTTGACTTTTAATCATCAAATAAACCCCATATTTAGTCTTGTCCATTCATGAAAGTAATAAAAATAAAGAAAAATTAAATCCAAATCTAACACAAAAAAAAATTAATTATCACAAAGTTTATTAATGACTAAATTAAGGCCATTGTGTCAATGGCCTTAGTTTAGTTGTTAACTAGCATTCACTCCCCGTGCGTTGAAGGAAACATATATTTAATGTATTCTTTTCAATTGAATGAAAATTACATATAAAAGCTCTAACATTTATCAATACTTATAAAATCAAACAAACGATTAAGTATATTCATCATTTCATCCTTGCATGTTTTGAAATACATCAGTTGTTATTAGTTATCATTGCTATCATACAGAAGTATCTTCAGTCCATTAACTGATTTAACCCTTGACAATGTTGCATAAAGTTGTTCATGCATGAAAATTGGCTTTGACAAATATATTCCAACATGTCATTAGAGATTAACCTTAACCATAACTCTTGTTAATAGTCATAGAATTAATGCATGGGAGCGTTTTCTTATATGTGATACTTTTAATGTATAATTTTAAATTTTTTAGAATAGTTTTACATTATAAAAAGAAAAAAGAAAACATGAACCTTATGAAATTTACATACTGTAATTATAATGCAATCAACTATAAAAAAATTAACAATAATATTTGGGATTTATTCAATAAGCAATATATGTGACGTTAACTAATTAAATTCCCAATTTGTTACTAAGTTTTATGCTTGGGGTGAAATGGTGGTAACATGTGCCAATGTATGTTCATTCTCCCATTATTATATATAGGGTTGTTTCATTCTAAACCTTCACAAAATAATGTTCAAAACAACGATATTATATGACACGTATATAATTATTTCTCAATTTTATTTAAAACAATTTTTTAATCATATGATCACACTAAATGGGAAATCAAAAAATCCTATCTTTTAATGAAAAATAATTAAACATATGTATATTTATGCTATAGAATTTCAATCTTATTCAAACATGAATTTTATGAATTCCATTGACATTATTCTAATGCAACCAACACATATAACATAACCATTAACAATAATGTTGGGAGTTTTTTTCCTAGACATTAATACTTTATGGTTGTTACAATTAAGTATAATATGTTACTTTCAATTTTTAAATTAATTACAAATTTTAGAAATAGCAATTATTGTTACTTTAGTATCATGAATTCATGAGTGTGATAAAAAGTTTATAAGTTCCATGACGAAAACATATATAAATCAAATTTAAATAGTATTCAAATATTATGCATTGGTGCCAATTTAAATTGCATAATGGATTACAATCAAGATAATTACAAACAGAACCGATACTATTATAATGAATTGATTAATTAAAATGAGATTATTACATTGGAACTTTTATACTTGATAAAAAATGATATGGGAAAATAATAATTGTGTTAAGTTAGATGAGCATTTGAAATGTAATAATGTTGGTCTTCCATAGGCTAAATTTTGAAATCATGCTTCCTCGCCAAAAGAAACAACACAAAGGATGTCTACATGTACATTTTATATGATATTATTTTAAGTAAAACAATAAGAATATAACTACCCTATGCAAATTACTTTTTTGACCAGGGACCCTATGTAAATTACTCCCCTCTCATCACTTAAGAAAATTTCATTCATAACCCCCAAAAAAAAAAAAATCAATGTACAGGAAAAAAAGATTACCCCTCACTTTCTTCTCACTTGACATAACATAAAGTATTAGGTATTAAGTCAATTAACTTTATTGATAAAGAGAGTATTACCTATGCATTTATTAAATAAATCATGAAAATAGTAGTTGAATCTCAAGTATTATAATTTCAAATAATCCTTATTTTAAATATTAAGCATTTACATTCCTATATAGATAAATGTGAAATTTTAGAATAATTGTTATCAAGAGAAGTAAAGCTTTATGTCTTCGAGTATGCTAGAAGACAATTGTCATCAATTGTTGCATTTTTATTTCTTAAGATAACTGAATTAATTAAATCTCACTACAAAATTAAAGTAAGAAAATAATTACTTAACACCCCATTTCAATTTAAAAACACAAAATGGGACAACCACATTTAACTTAGCATAAAAAAATCAATACTAAATTGATTGCCGAAGTTTCAATCCGCAAGAAACTGGACCTCAAATAAATCAATTCATGAATACTATCATGGAGATCTGTAATTAGTGAAAGACAAGACATTGTTCTTGAGGATATACAGTTGGTTGCTGAAGTTTTGATCTACAAAAAGTTTACTTGAGAACAGCTAGACAATAGTTCTATTATTTACTCATAGAATACCTCTAAGATCCTCATGAGGCAATTGGCATGCTAGGACCTAAGAATACAATGATAATAACTACACAAACTGACTTTTATGTTTCATGCATGCAGCAACTATGGGAATAGACTTTTTATCAAATTAAATTACTATTGTGTAGGATCGCCAAAATTTATCAGAGGCAAAGTGACAAACTACAAGTAGCATTATTACAATATTATTTTAAACATTTCAAATTTCAATTTCAAATACTTAAATAATTGCAATGGATCGCTGGTAAAAAAAAAATAATTGCAATGTGTAGCAATCAAAACTGCAGCTGCAAGCCCCTGTTTATGACTGAATCAAATGCATTGTTTACAGGATAAAATCTGAGACATCTACCCTTATTCATACATGAGAGCCTGGAGGAGGTGCGTGAAACATGAAAAAGTCATGCATGCAATCTATACGTGCCTCCTAGAAATTTATCACACATCTTATCAAGAGAAACATAAGCAATGACATGCCATGTCCATGTTTATGAATTCACTTTTTCAACTTTCTAGACTTTTTATTCAATAGTTAACAGTTAGAAGCTAAGAAAGGCAAGGACCTAGCTAGCGGAAAAAAAGAGGCAAGGCCCTAAATCAATATAAGATTTTGTCAAACAGGAAGGATTAGAAGGATTGTGCATTAATTGCATTTCATAAAGATGTCAAAAATTTCTCAAAAGGCACCTCGTATGGTTATGTGTTTGCATGCTCTAAACAAAGCATGGGCATTTTACTATCTGGAAGCAAAGACAGTATATAAATAGGTCCAGAAGGTCGCTGTTCTATCACAATCATAGGAAATGAACACCAATCAAAAGTGAAGAATGTGATTATTATGTCAATTATGAATCTAGTCTCAGATTTTCTGCTTCCATAAAGATTTAGAAGCAAGTGCTGATTTTTTTTTCCTCTCTCATAAGATTTCCACTTATTCTATTAAACATCTTTGCTTGGTCCTTAGTTTTCACCCTGCAAAATTCTCATGTATAGGACTTGACTGAGACAAGTACTCTGTATATATAACGGCTATGCTGTTTCCTTCAATTGTTTTATGATATAAAACTATCAATATTAACATATATACGACTCATTGTTATTCTATGTTTATAGTAGGTAGAAAAGAAGAAATAGTGAATATGTGACTCATAATATCCAGAGTCAACCATAAAGAGATCATCACCAGCAAGACTAATGGGGTTGGTCTGTGTGAATTTGCCTTTTATAATTATATTGCCATACCTTACTCTTCTCCAATCACTGTCACAAACCAATAGTCTCTTCAACTCCTTTGTTGACATCTAAAATCAACAAACCACCAAGGGAAATAGGAACCACAAGAAGAGTCTGAATTTCACAGCAAAAACATCTTTTACTTTACACCGAACTTTCACCGCCTTGTGTGGCTTGGTTTCATATTTGATTTTCACATTCTAGAAACATCTTTTTCCTCATGACATGCTTGAATTTTGTGTCAGTCAATTATTGGCAACGTTTTATTTAATCTAAAAAATGAAAGTTGAAAATTAATACCCTATGTTTGCTTTTGTAATTTTGCCCAAATTTAAAATTTGTAAATTGATTCATATAAAATCAAAGATATATATATATATATATATATATATAGATATACGCTACACCAATTGTTCCATCTCACAGGTACGAGTTTAAATGAACCTCGGATGTCTTTGGCCCAAAAAACAAAAAAAAAAAAAAAAGAACATCGGATGTACAATGGCTAATGTTGTTTCATCGATATGCTCTTAACTGCTGGAAACCAAAACTCTTTTAACAACCAAGTATTTCGAAATCTATTAGGTACATGTGCAAAATTTTACTCTTTAAAATATAGGGCATTGATTTCTGATTAAACGTATAATCCTCTAAGACTTCATAGATAAAGCAAAAGATGACAGTAGACAAACAAAAGCGCAAAAAAAAAAAAAAAAAGGGTGAACCAAAATTTAATTAATCAAAATTTATTGAGTTCAATCTGCAGGTATACAATCGGAAGTTAATGATTCAAAATTTATACAACAAAGATCACACTTCCCATTAGCTCTGAACCCTGACACAGTAGCATATAATCGAAGGAAAACATACAAATATACCATGGGGTTGACACTGACAGAATAGCATATATTCTTACCGGAAAAAATTATAATTACCCACGGATTGAATATACTTCTCATGATGCTCACAGAATATGGATAAGCATAAAGAACATACATTACCCATATCAATTTTTTACTTACGGGAAGAAGCACATGCATAAATAAGTTCATTTAAACTGAAGAACAAAAATTAAGATGAGAGTTAAGAGAACTAAAAAGGAAGAGAAGTGGGAGAAAAAAGAACACCAAACGGCGACCATAAAAGCCAAGCAGAATTATCTGAGAGGTAGGTAACTGTCATTGTGCAAGGCAGCATAAATCAGACCTATCAACAACATTATAATACTTGCAGATAGAGATATACATGCTTTATGGGATGACCAAGGTTATTAAACACAAATTGGGTAATGATGCAGACTTGGTATAATAGTCTTGCCGAATCCGTAGACAGAGCATTCACAAAAAGTTGATGGTTCTTGTGGCATATTATGTCTCCTTACCGCATCCTTTTTCAGCTTAGTCTGAAAGTTTTTAGAAAAACAGTGTCTGCTTTATGCAAAACTCAAACCACGATGGGAAAAATTGACAGCTGGCTACGAATTCAGCAGGAGGCTTTTTTTCGATAAAGTAACTGGCTGCAGATTCAGCAGGAGGTTATCCAGTAAACGTGTGTCTTCAAATTTCTCCATTCTACCAAAAAGAAAAGGCAATGCCAGAGGTTTAACACCCTTTAGAATGATTATGGCACATACATGTAAATAAAAATCATATTATAAATTATAAAATATCTCAGGTTTGAGTATAACTTTAATAAACTGAAACATGTTGCAATAAGAAATTTGAAAAGCAAGAGGTTGATTTTAATACTCACGAACATGCTAGCAAATGAAAGTTGTCTTAGAGGCATTAGAGATATGCTAGGACCTGCAACATACTTGTTGCCAGGAAAATGGCTTTTATGGAAGGATGGAAGGAAGAAGAATACAAATTGCATTTATGCAGCAGCATAATAGTTGGCAGGACTTGCAGTTGTTTGAACAGCAGGAAAGTGTAGGCGAAGAGAAAAAGGCGACAGAGAAGTACTTTAGTCTTTTTATTAATGGAAAATGGAGCATATATTAGCAGAAATAGTGCAAGTAAATAAATACAAAAGGGTAAAGATTTATGCCTTTCACAATCTATCGCTTCCTTAAAGCAAAGAGGATTGATGACACAAGGCACCAAGATGATCAAGGCTATGTAAACCTATTCTAACAACCTCTGTAATTTGGTCACCACTTTCAGTACAAGAGTATAACAAAAAAAATCCCAATCTCTCATAACTGTATTCCTAGCTTCATAAAGAACTTCATGCAGTGGACTCGCTGTTAAGAATGAAATGTCCATATTCAGCAGATTAAAAATCTGAGCACAATTTAATTCCATCTCAACATACCTAAAACCTCTACCTCCAATGCTGATCCAGACCATTAAACAGAGCTTCAATGACGGTAGCATCACTATGGTCAACATGGTCTTAAAAAAAAAGGCCCTCATCCTTTCAAGCTAATTCATTCTTTCACCTCCCCTTAGTTGGGATGATATCTTTACAAGGTCCTATTACAGCTTGACAAGGTGTCTTTAGTCAAAGCAATGCATTTGCTCCTTGGTTTTACTGATTAATTTTAAGGGTCTAGCTAATTTTTTATGCAGCACTTTTCTAAGTTCATTTATTGATATAACTTGATAGCAATTTGTTTGAGGTTGTATGTCTGATATGAACACTATTTTGTTTTTCTTTTTTCTTTTTTACATCAAGAGCATCAAAATATTTTCATATTTTGCACTCCGTTGATGGCAAGTCAAATATTCTTGTCCTGATTAATCAACCAAATCCTAGCTTGGTAATCAGTGTTTCCCTCTGCAGATGTTTTTTAACAAAGGAAAATCACACAACAGGAAACAACTTAGCAATCACAGAAAAAGCAAAGATAGGACCAAGATTAAACAATATAGTACCTCTTCTTCTCTTAAACTTGACTTGATTTCTCTTTAAGTATGCCTTTGTTTTTTAAGCCTCAACATATGCCTTCATTGAAGAAATGAAAATAAACCAAACTTCAATTTAAAGCAACTAATAAAAAAAATTTATGTCTCATTCTCAATCTACCAACTAAAATTTAAACAGGGGATATGTAAGATTAAAATCTAAAATCTAATAAATGGGAAAGCATAGTAGTAAAGGTGCCAAGCACCCCAAGCAAATCATTGTTGCGGCATCAAACTAAGCCAACGTAAAATATGTAAAAAGACAACGAAAACGAAGTCTTAATGATAACGACAAATCAGAACAGAAAACAGAATCCATTAGAAATCATTTAGAAAACATCGATGAAAATAGAAAACAATTTGGCTCAGTTTCATGCAGCAACAGTTGAGACTTTATAGTTGAAAGGGAAGCTTAGGACCCTACCTTCTCTATCTGCTTTCAAGTAATAATTATTGATTTATCTTTGTTGAATCAAGTGAAAATTTTCCGTCACAACATGATAGCAAACTAAACCAAATCAGTACAAAGAACAACATAAGGTGAGAGAAATGTTAATACTTCAGGATGGCATGGTCATGAAAATGATCCATTTAACTTGCAATATATTATGTGGAGGTCTCCCCGATTAACCCCACATCCAAAAACAAATAAAAAATAAAAAGCAAGACAACCCAAAAAGGCCAAAATAAAAAAGTGAAACCCTCCCCCATCTTGCCTCTTGCGTCGTGCTTTGGGGACTGCAAGCACAAGCTTGCTCTCATCTCTCAAAGTTGAAAAAAATATTTGCTGAAAGAAGAATGAAGATGTCACGTCTAGAACACTGGTATTAACAGAAGATGTCTTTCTTCTCCATCATCTCTCAAGCAATATTCTGCACAAAGGCATCATGTATTTAACAGAGAAATTCAGAGTTTTATGTGTAAAACAAATTCTACGAATCAAAGTGGATAGAGAGATTCAGGTATTTGGTTGAATACATACCCCCAAAGACATTTCAGGGTTTCATCAAGCTTTTTGGAAATCATTTGAGTTGCAAATGCATATACCCTCAAGACGCTAGCGAGAAGCTTGGAGAAACACTGGATTGGAGAAACATAAGGGAGAACGGCCAACACGAAGCTCTGGGTGATGTCGAGATCGAGAATCTGAAATGATAAAGCTTGGAGAACGGCGAGATCAAGAATGAAGAGAGAACGGCGAGATACAGATGGACAACCCACGCCCGAGAAGCTTGATGCAGCCTGATAGAGAACGCCCACAATGAAGACGAGACCAAGAGACAGGGAGGCGAAGAACGGGCAGGGTAGAAGGTGCGCGCTTTGGTGAAAAAGAAAGTGAACATCCTTGCGGCCGTTTAAATTTCAGTTGAATATAATAAATTATAAAAATAATTAATTAAATAATAAATTTTAATTATAATTAATTATATTATGATGTAATATATTTAAATATTATTTTTTTTAAAATTAATTTTAATAAAATTAAAATATTTGAATAATTTAATTAAAATTATAAATTACTATAAAAATATTTAAATATCAGATATCAATTTTTTAAGATATAAAGTTTAACTTTTATTAAAAAAAAAAAGAGAGTTTGATTTTATTTTTATTAAATCATATTGTAATTTTTTTTGGGTCTGTATTTGTAATTTTTTTCAATATTTTTGAGAAACTTTTGGCTGAAATAGGATGGAGGGAGCTTCTGAAAAAAATGCACGTTTTGGCTCATAATTAATTTTTGATCATTTTCAACTGTTTAAATAATTGGCAGAAAAAATTTATTTTGAGATCCAAAACGCACATTTTTCCTTTATCCAAACAGGCACTATATCTGTAATTTATAATGTATATCTATATCTATATTATATTATATTATAATCATAATATTATGTAAAAACTGTTGGGTGGATACTCTAGTACAGTACCCACTCGATCTTTTTTTGTTTTTTAACCTTGTTATTAGTTTTTTTAAAACAAATTTTTATTATTGTTACAGATGGATACTGTATATCGTTATCCATCTATGACTTTTTTAAATTTGTCATGAATGGGTATCGTAGATTCAATGTTTTTTAAAAAAAATTATTTGTTGATTTTTTAATGTTTTATAATGAATAAAAAAGGAAAAGAATAAAGTGGGTCATGTAATAAAAGAGATACATGTTAGATATATAATTAAAAATGAGTAAAATATTTTATTTATTTTTATCTTAATTAATGATATTTCTTTTATATTTTTTTGAAATTTATATGAATATTTTTTAGTATGGATAGTTATGAAATATAAATCTCTATTTTATTTTTAAAATTTTATTTTCAATCCTTCTAATCATTAGTTAACTGTTAAGTCACATATGTTAAACTAAAATATCCCTATTTAAATATAAATATTGCCTAAAAATTATTTAAATTACCAAAAAAATAATTTTTTACTATCTAATTCTGTTTATTTTGTAACTTTTTTAAAAATTAAATATATAAATGGGTTAAAAAATATTCAAAGATGCAATTTATGAAGTCAATAAAAAGAAAAATAAAATAAAATAATTCGGGGTAGTTAAACTAGCCTAAATAAATTCTAAAACTAAAGATGTCATACTTAACTATAAATTTTTTATATGTGGGACCTACAACAAATTAAATTGTTAATATGAAACTTATAATTAAAAATGAGTAAAATATTTTGACATTCCTTTTATTTTATCTTAATTAATGATACATGTCTTCTATTTTTTGAAACCTACATGAACATTTTTTTTATAATATAGATAGTTATAAAATACAAGCCTCCCTTATTTTTTTAAGATTTTATTTTTATCTCCCTAACTATTAATTGACCATTAAGTCATATATGTTGAACTAAAATGGTCGTATTTAAATATAAATATTATCTAAAAATCATTTAAATTATCAAAAAATTAATTTTGTAACTTTTTTAAAAAGTTAAATATGTAAATTGGCCAAAAAAATCAAAAATATAGTTTATGGACTCAATAAAAAGAAAAATAAAATAAAATAATTTTTAAAAATTATGAAGTAAGGATCTAATGGGAATGGAGAGAATGTAGATCTTAATAAACTGAATTTTCTTAAAAATTGAAGTAGTGTAGTTTAAAGAAGTTGCGTGTGAACCTACAGCTAAAAAATGTGAGTGGGGGCATATAATTATAAATTTTAAAAATTTAGACAAGATGTATGATATAATAATATTTTTATATTTTAAAAGATCATGGTAAAAATAATTGGTGCTAAATATGTTAAAAAATTTCTGATAATAAAAAAGTAGAATGGTTAAACCAACCTAAATAAATTTAAAAGCTAGAGGTATAAGAGCTGGGCTTGGCTCCAGATATTTTTATATATTTATATATTTTAAAATCGGTATGAATTGAAGATCTAATAGAAATGGAGAGAATGTGAGATTTTAATAAATTAAATTTTCTTAAAAATTAAAGTAGTGTGGTTTAAAAAAATTGTGTGTGGACTTATGGTTAAAAAATGTGAGTGGGGGCATATAATTATAAATTTAAAAAATTTAGACAAGGTGTAAGATATAATAATATTTTTATATTTCGAAAGATTATGGTAAAAATAATAGGTGTTAAATATGTAAAGAAATTTTTAATGATAAAAAAGTGGGCGAGAGATCTATAATTTAATTAACAATATTAAATTAGTAATTATTTTAAAAAATAATTTTTTAAAATTAGTTAATGGATGATTTTGTTAAAAAAATAAATAATACAGTTGCAGGACTTGATAAAAAAGTAGATGTGTGATCTACCATTAAAAAATGTGGCTGTGGGACCAATGTTTATACAAGTTAAAAATTTAGACAATGTATAAAAAATATGAAGATTTTTATATCTTAAAAGATCATGTAAAATCCATGGTAAAAATTGGTAGTGAATATAAATTTTTTAATAAAAATAATATGTGTTTGATATGCAAAGGAATTACCAATGATTAAAAAAATGATTGTGGGATCTAAAATTTATGTAGGATTTATAATAAAAATTATATGTGAATATAAGATTCTTAACAAAAATAATAGGTGTTAGATATATAATAAAATTTAAATAAACATAAACACAAATTATATTAACTAATTTATCTCTTATTTCATTAATTTTTTTATACACACGTGTTTGAAATATTATTTTAGTAAATTTACTCCATTCATTTAAAAATATAAAGTATTTTTTAAGAGTTATTTCTCAAGGTTTGGATGTTAAAAAATATAAGATATTTTTAGTTTTTAAAGGTGTAATTATTTTATAGTGAAACACCTAATTAAATAGTAAATATAGAAAAATGATATTAATTTAAAAACAAATAATTACTTTATTAGAAAATGAGATTTGATCAAAAATGACTTATATTTTTTTCCTGTGCATTGCATAAGTTATAAATTTTAAGATAAAATATTCTACTTAAATTTGAATTTTAAAATTTAATATTTACATATATAATAAATTTTAGAATAAAATATTCTATTAAATTTTTTATATGGACAGCAAATTATAAAAAATATAAATTACAAGAAAAATTCTTAGATGAACTCATCTTTTGTAAAATATTTTCCTTTAACTTTTAAAAACAGTACAATTTAATCCTTGATGTTAACAAAAAATAAATTTGATCATTATTTAATTAAAAAATAACTTTAAAAAATTACGGTGTAATATATTAGTTTTTATTTTTATTTTCTAATGATATGAAAATTTTCTTTTTATTTTTTTTTTATTATCCTCAAATCGAACAAAGTGTTAAACTCCCATGCATCGCACTGGGTTAAAATCTACTTTTATGTAAAAAGCATTCAAACTATAATTCTTAATTTAAAAAAAAATATTGACAACTTAGATGGGGTAAAACATTTTTTTTCAACCATGAAAAAGACAACACATAAAGAAAAAGGAAATTTGTAACGAAGCCCAAGATTTTAAGCTTGGTATGGACAGATCCCGAAAATGAAGCCATTTAGCTCCATAAGCCCAGTGGCTTAAATGGCTCTATGAATAGTAATCTGAGTCTAGATCCATATAAGAAGCATTGGCTTGGTGGAACTCTTTTTTAGGATATATTGATGGATTTTGTGGTCATTAATTTCCTTGTGTGAGACTTTAACATAATTTTCTTTAAAAATAACCCTTATCTAGTTACTTAATATTAGGGAAGAAAACACGTAGTGATTTTTCCTCAAATTAGCTTTGCTTTAAATTATTATTGTTCTAATTTTTTATATATTGTAAATTTTCACAAGTTATGTTCTTTTATATAGACTTGAAGGAATATTTAAAATAAATAATATATTGAAATAAAGGAGTCAGGTCAGAGTACTAGATTTGGGTATTGCAGAATCTACCCGACTACCCACACGAGTTTAGACTACCAGAGTCTAGACTATGGTGCACAATAGATGCCCCGAAGAGAAAGAAAGGGAGAGGAAGAGTGACCTAGAGAATTATCCACTTTGGGATCATTTCTACCTCCAGCCTCTAATCACTATTTTAAAAAAATTCAATCAGCATTAATTTGCCTCATAATAGAGGAAATATGATGATCGTAATAATCACAATTAAGACAGAGGATCATTTCCTTTTCTAGCCATTAATCATACATTAATATCAGACTTTGGTCAACTAATCATGACAAGAGTTATGACTCATCATGGGCGAAAATTAATTAAAAATTCTAATATCTCTTACTTGCAATTGATAAGACTCTCATCATGTGAACTCTATCTCTTTTGCTTCATGCTTGGTGCTCTGCCGTGACCGCATGGGCATAACACCCTTGATTTAGATGCTTGTGCAATGGAAATCTTAGGATAGGATTAGCACACAAAGACATCTTGTTGTATACTTGCATTACAGCTACAAGTTGCCTCAAACACCCTAGATTTACTCATACGCATTACTCATGGCATATCAAATCCCTCTTAAGTTATTTATTTAACTCAAATTGCCTTCTCATATGCTTAATGTCTGCACTTACAAGTTCTATACTTGTGAGGGACATGTCTCAGGCACTAGCAAGATTATGTATTTAAGGGTTAATATTCCTTCAGACCTTATACCAATCAAGTCTGACTTAGTTGCTTTCCTAATACTTAGCCTATTAGATTGAATCAATAATGACCATGGGGTACAAACTAAAGTAGCTATCACTAAGTCACCCTCTTATGACATTGTCTAAGTCTTAAGGGCACTATGAAAGGATTTTTCTCCTTTCTAGGACTTATGCAATAATGCAACAAGGATCCTTCCAACCACTTCCATTATTATGGTAAAAAATTAAAGCACATGTAGTATAAATTGCATGCTACAGTGTTTCTCTGTTAAGAGCGTATGTCAATTTTAATTTATCAACACCGTTCAAGCGTGAGTCTCGAATACATGCAATACTTAAACCAGAATTCTATAAATAACTCATGACCTTTCTTAAGGAATTCTTTGCTTGGCTACAAGCATTATCGATTGCAATTATCCATGATTTGATATAGACTTTAGATTCTAGATCTCATCTTGATGCCACTGTTCAAGGTGATATTTATTATATGACTCTTCTCAACCATTCCATTATCCTTTTTAAATGGGTAGTGATCATATTATGTCTCACCTCCTTTACTTTTCTTGAGCATTGAAGGCGGTTGTTCGTGTGAGAGAACCAACCATTCAAACTTGCACAACACACTTGAATATTGTATATCATTGCATTATTAAAGTTTAGCATTCATTTTATCATTCTTGATAAAGTTTGTGAAAAAGCTTTCACAAGTTTCAAAGCTTTTATTTCTAATCTATATGCTCTTCAAGAGAGTTTTTTTGTGAAACTTTTATTTTTAGCTAAAATCTTGAAAAGGTATTTTTTTAAGTAATTTGTAATAACTTGTTAGTTGTAGTAAGGTTTGTTGTTGAATCAAGACAAGTTAAGTCTTGAGAGTTGTATTGAGGTTGTAAGCACCTATTAAAGCTTGTGAGTTTAGGTTGAAATCTTAAGTGTGATCTTGAGGACTCGATGTAGGCTAAGTTTTGGGCTAAACCATAATAAATTTTGTGTGTATTATCTCTTCTCTCCTTGCTCAAGTCTTCCTTACTCTTTAAGCTTTCCAAAAATAAATTTTAGTATTAACCAATTTACCCCCTCTTAGGTGCCAGCCCATCTAACATTTAGTATCAAAACTTAGACTCTTGATCAATGACTTAATAGTTTAAGAGGATCTTATGACTAGTTTTAATGATAATGTACTCCTTAAAGGTGTTGAGATTAATAGGCCTTTAGGATTCAATGATAAAAACTACACCTTTTAGAAGAGCAAAATGAGATTATTCTTTGAAGCATCAAATCTTGATTTATGGAAGATTGTTGAGAATGGTCCTTATGTTCCAATGAAAACAATGGAAGGACAAGTGCGAAAAGTAAGGAGTGAATTTACATAAAAGGAAGAGAAGCTGGTGCTTTTATATTACAAGGCAAAACTAATCATAGCAAGTGTCTTGAGTTAACAAGAATACTTTTGTGTCAGCAATCTTAAGGCAGCTAAAGAAATGTGGGATGTGCTCGATTTAATGAATCCTTTAACTAACAAGTCTTCAATTTGCTTCTTTAGTTCAACCAATTTCGATGGTGACATTCTATATAAGGCCTTTGATATTGATTCAATTCTAGTAACCAAATCAATTAAAAACTCCGCTTCTCTTTTAGGAGATAATCCTGTCACTTCATCTGAAAATACCTTAAGGAATTCACTTACTCCCTCGATCTTCTTAATTCCACCATCATACACCGTACTAGAGGAAAAGAACACCATGTACGCCTCATAACCCTGCTGAATCAACTTCTCCATACTTACTATCGATAAGAACTAAGGTTGCTCTAAAGAATCCATTATTATAGATAATACTAGCAATGAAACTACCTTTTTGGCACAATAAAGTGTAGCAATATTCATTGCTAGCCAATCTATGCCAATAATCACATCTATTCCTTTTATAGGAATACAAATCATATTGATCTCAAAAATTCTATCCTCAAATTAAATCTCCATATCTTGACAAGCTCCACTCATAATACTAGATGATCTAAAAGGCATCATCACTCTAATAAACACAAGCAATTCTTGCAAAGATAAACCCATTCTATCCACACACTCCTCAGACATAACAAAATGTGTGGTACTAGAATCAAATAATGCCTCTACTTGGTGATCACAAATAGAAATCATACCTCTGATCAAATTCAGACACATTCTGGCCTCTTCTTGCGTGATTGCAAACACTCAGCCCAGAATTATAGAATACTGCTCAGTCACCTCAACTCTGCCCTCCAGGAACTATCTCGTTATATGTCTTGACTTGTTATACTTGAAGTAAGCCTAACATCTTCTCGAATGAGATTAGTTGCAAATATTGCACTGAGGTGTCCTTCCAGTACTCAAAGTTGATGTTGGAACATTTGATGCTTGCCTTAAAGATTGTGGAAACCTAATTCTCACACCTCTACTTCTTTAAACTGATCCCCTCTACACGGATCGAGATTGAGACCCTTTAATAAAACCTCTCCTTTATGAGGAACTAGAACTGTCAGCATTGAACTTAGGCCTCTTTAAAATTCTGCCTCTTAAACCTAAAGGGGATGAAAATCTCCTTATATTATCTTGTCTCTTCTTGGCATTTGCCTCTCTACCACGCCTAGCTTCTACTCTCAACTTATAGCATATTTCCTCATATGTTGTCATATCAAACAGTACTATTTGCTAGTAATACTCAAGTTTCATCTTCTCTAGTAACCTCTTAGCTTTCCACTTAGTATTACTGCTATGCTAAAGATATATGGAGTAAGCCTTATATCTACCACTATATCTCTAAGCTCCTTAAGTAACTTATCCCTTTTATCTCTTTGCGATTGAACCAATTAAACTTCTGGCTTTTGTTCCTCCTCAACTACTCATCTAGACATAACACTTCTAGCACGAGTGCCTCGACTCATACTATACTATTTTCTCCCCTTCTAAGGATGAAAATAAGAAACATAAAGGACATCAGGGAAAGAGTTGTGTAATGAACAATTGTAAGTTGCCATATCCCTAGATGAATGCATCAAACAATCTCAATAATTATGTCTCAAAACTCGAGAAACTGATACTAGAATGTAACCTTTCCCAATATTCACTCAATATTAGGAAGGGTTAACTAAATTGCCAAACACACTATAACAAACAGTAAACAATTACTGTGTTTAAAAAGCTTGGGCCCAAACTCATTTTGTAAAATGATCAAAATTATAATGCATTAGAGTACTAAACAGCAGAAACAAGTTATTTGCATTTATATCAAGTACTGCATGCCTTTTAAACAAAGATTTCAGGTTGGACTATAGGCAATGCACTGCAGCGAACAATACATGTGCCTTGGCATGTGGCATAGAGCCACATGCCTGACCTTTTGTGTCATGTGTCACAGCATAAGACGCCATATGCTATGGTGTGCTAGTCTAAATTTTTCTAACGTCATTTAATAGCAAAAATGACAAGCTTCTGGCATTCATTATTTTCACATACAACATCTGATCGGAGTGATTCAAGCATCTACATGAAGCTTAACTCTTAACTAATGAGAAAGGTTTTGACACAATCTAACGATCTATTAAAACACATTTGTTACACATATTTATTTATTAATTAGGACCATTTTATTAAGGTTTTATCATCTCAAAGTGCACACATTGCATTAGAATTGAAAAATCACCTAAATGTTTAAGTTTAGTGCATTAGGGGTATTTTGGTCCAAAAATGAACTTTTGAGTAAATGTACAAGAAAAATTAAAAATTGAATTTTATGTATAGAAGATGAGTGGTCAAATTATATTTTTTAAATTCATTTTGGTTTGGAAGTAATTAAATGAAAAGTCAACACTTTTATAAGTATTATAATTTGACCTAATTTTCGATTTGCCTTTGTGTGAAAATTTTTATATAAATTTGTACAACCTCAAACTTGGTTATTTTAATAAATTTTCTCTTCTAATTATGAATTTAATTATATTTTATAATGTCACATATTATTTAATTGAATTATGTGATTTTTGTGACACAAGTGATATGTGACTTGGACATCAATTGTGAAAATGAAGTCAAATGCTCATGGATTCTAAGCTGATGCATTATGGAAGTTTTTCTTCTTAATTGAGTGGTCTAGATCAGCTTAAAATGTAGATGATACATGGGATTAATCTGACACGCACTAGAATCATCCACAAGCCAATAAGAGGGTGCCACTTAGCAAGTATGACAAGGTCCCAAAATTCCTTTTTATTTTATTTTAATGAGTGACCAGTTGAAAGAAACAAGAAATGTACGTCCATTCATTCCTAAATTCAGATTTAACTCACCTCATTTTACCATCTCGTCTATTACCTTCTCTCTAGTTCATCTTGTTCTTCATTTTCTCCACCTTCTCTCTCTATTTTCTTCAATTTTCTAGCATCCATAACTCCACTTTCATCCACCAAACCTCCACAAAACCACCACCATTCCATTCCTCTCACTTGGATGAACCTATCCTTACCACTTGCAAAGGAGATTTGAAGTTTGATTCTACCGTTTCCATGGAGCTCTACTTGGCTATGTCTAGTTCTTGGAGGAGTAAGATGGTTTTGATGTTTTCTAGCTAAATTCTCCATAGAATCCTAGGGAGGATTTGATGGAAGAGGAGTTTTAAATTCTTCACTTAGCTAAGCTCAACTATTTCTTTATCTTATTTCAATTTCATTAGAATACTATTGCTATGGTTGACTGTAGTTCAATTTGACTTTAGTTTCATGGTTGGTTGTAATTGTTAATGTTAGAATAAGATTGTTTACTTGAATTTGATATCCTTTTGTTGCTGGAAATTTCGTCCACTTAGTGATTTTGCATTGTAATATGTGATTTCAATTGGTGAATGTCTTGTATTAGTCTAGCATGTAATTGTGTGATGAATACTTAATGAGTTGCTTGAGTTTCATAGTTTTGACCTTAGGTATAGCTTTAGGTAATGGCAATTAGGAACGAATTTTAACTAAATACTTGGTTAATGCTAAGTTAGTAAGGTTACCTAAAGGGCTTGTAATAGCACTTAGGGAATTGAACTAGTGAAGCTAGGTTACTTGAGATAGTTGCCTTAAGTAAATACATTTTTCAACCAAGGAAGAGGACTTGAGTGAGCTGTCATAATTAATTAGAGGCTACGATTCTTTTATTAGCAATACCTTAGGGTTCCTACTTTAATAAAGAAGCCACTCCATTCATAATTAGGTTTATTTTGATAGTTTAAATCTCTAGATAATCAGATTAGTAATTGGGTAATTAAATTTCCACAACTTTGGATGATTTATTTTACTAGATAACCTTTGATTAAACTAAGAACCATTCCTTAGGAGATAACCTAGTGTTGGCTCAATATTGCATTAGGATTAGCTTTAGTTTAATTTTAAGGATAAAGCGACTAGGTCCGATCATGATCCAATCAAAATTTGGACTTCTGAGGGTAAAATGTCACCTTTTTAAAGAATTTCATGCACTCAAGCACTCAAATTGATCCCATTATCTTATTAGACCACACAAAGCCTTGAATTAAGTCTGAAAAGACCTATTACACCTGATTAACCATAATATATCACATATATTAATATATACCAAAATTTGACCTCTTAATGACTAATTTTCATATTTCATGAATTTGGCATAACTTGGTATAAATTGACCCCTTGCCATTTTCACTATAATTCCATCATAAATTTACTACTCAAACATTTTCAATATAATTACAACTCAATCTTAGCCCTAAATTACTCATTTCATCATAACTTCCACACATGGGTTAAGATTCACCAAAACTCATGACATTCACCATAATTTCTACATTTTCAACCAAACACAACTCAAACATGCATGCAATTTCCCATGGAAACTTATTTACATATATTCCCAAACTTTCAGTTCATTACATAATACTCTAAGTTTACAAGACTTTAACAACTTTAAGCTGGTCCTAACTCTTTTTCCTTGCCTTAATCACTGCTTTATCTTATAAAAATGTAATCATGGGGTGAGATAAAAATCTTAATAATGAAATAACTCACTACTATTGACTATCATATGTAACTATATGAAAGTAAAGCATAATATATCTTTTAATAGCATATACCACATATCTTATTTCCAACCTCATCAATATAGCATATTCCACTACTTTCACTGTTTTTCTAATATAAGTATGATCTCTATCGTCTGAACCTCCAATCACCTTGACTCGAAACTATAGGCTTGCCTTAGACTAATATATACTCTTATAGGTCTTGAACTTACCTTTAGTGGCAGAATCACCCAATCAAAGGTGTTATATTATACTTTTGGACTATGGTTTCCCTCAAGACACACAATGGGGTGTTGTTGACTCCAACACCATATCACATAAACACTAAGGAATCTAAATCTCTAACACCGTACCTCAAAAGGCACTAAGGAGGTATAATTCTCCAAGACCACACCCTATCGAGCATTAAGGAGAATATGCCATATGGTCTTATCACAACAACTCTACATGAGAGAACTCCCACCCCTATGATCATGCTTTACAAACTAATTATAGGTTTGACATTTGTACATGTATCCTCAACATATAGCATATATTTATGTAAAGTATAAAATCACATGTTTTTACTCATTTATTTGATCAAAACCTATTTTCATGCAACATTTATGCAGTGCTATAAAACATGCTTAGTCTTAAACAATTTCATGTAACAGATACCATACTCACACATAGTTATAATAAATAGCCAAATAAAGGAAGTTATCCGATTACT